GGCTGGGAGCGGCAGGATGGAGCGGCCACACCTGCGCCGGCCCCGCCCCAGCCAGCATCCCTGCTCCGAGCCGCATCCCTGCTCCGAGCCGCATCCCTGCTCCGAGCCGCATCCCTGTGCTGTCCATCCCTGTGCTGTCCATCTCTGCTGCGAGCTGCATCCCTGTTATCCATCCCTGTGCTGTCCATCTCTGCTGCGAGCTGCATCCCTGTTATCCATCCCTGTACTATCATCCCTGTGTTATCCATCCCTGTGCTGTCCATCCCTGCTCCGAGCTGCATCCCTGTGCTGTCCATCCCTGTGCTATCCATCCCTGTGCTATCCATCCCTGTGTTATCCATCCCTGTGCTGTCCATCCCTGCTCCGAGCTCCATCCCTGTGCTATCCATCCCTATGCTATCCATCCCTGTGCTATCCATCCCTGCTGCGAGCTCCATCCCTGTGTTATCCATCCCTGTACTATCATCCCTGTGTTGTCCATCCCTGTGCTATCCATCCCTGCTGCGAGCTGCATTCCTGTGCTGTCCATCCCTGTGTTATCCATCCCTGTGTTATCCATCCCTGTGTTATCCATCCCTGTGTTATCCATCCCTGTGCTGTCCATCCCTGTGCTGTCCATCCCTGTGTTATCCATCCCTGTGTTATCCATCCCTGTGCTGTCCATCCCTGTGCTGTCCATCCCTGTGCTGTCCATCCCTGCTCCGAGCTCCATCCCTGTGCTGTCCGTCCCTCCGTCCCTCTGTCCGTCTGTCTGTCCCCGGCGCTGTCCGTGCCGGCGCTCCCCGGGGAGCGCTCCGGAGCCGCGCTGGGCTCCCCCGGCGTTTCTCCGTGTCCCGTCCTGTCGTGTGCTCCTCACCCCGGTTCCCCGTCCCTCGGGAGCATCCCGGGCTGACCGTGCCATCGCCACCCCGCAGCTGGCACGGCGCTGGGCTGGCAGCGCTCCGGGCTTTTCCCGGTGCCGTGTCCGAGCCCCGGCGCTCCCTGGAGCTGTCCTTGCCCTGCTCCATCCCTTCCTCCGCACCGGCACCTCCCCGCGCCGAGCATCTTTATCCCCTTAAGCCATCCCGGCCGGGTGGGTGGCGGTGGCCGTGGCGGTGAGCGGTGCCACCAGTGTCCCCAGGGCTGCTGCCCAGCCCGAGCCACCTGTTTCACATCGATGCCCACCGAGCCGTGCCCGCCTCTCCCGCGGCACCGCGCCGCTGCTGAGCCCCTGCTTCATTAAAACAAGAGGAAGAGGAGCGCTAATGAGGGGTCTGCGCAGGGGCGGGGGTCGCGCTCCTTCCCAGCCGCTCGCTCCGCATCCCGCCCGGCCACACCCTGGCATGCCAGCCTGATGCCAGCCTGCTCCCTGCGATCGCAGTGCCACCGCCTCCCTGCCACCTCCACACCGCCGCTCTCGCCTGTGGGAGGGCACAGAAAGCGCCTTGCCTTTTTTTCTTTTTTTTTTTTGTTTTTTTTTGTTTTTTTTTTTTTTTTTTTTTTTTTTTTTTTTTAAAGGTTTTTTTTAGGTTTCCCCCCCCCAAGGGAAATAAATGGGAGTAAGCAAAAGAAATTAAAAAAAAAAATTATCTGCATATCATCTGTTGCCCCACTCAACTACATGTTTATCCAATAATAATAATTATGAATATGGAGAATGCCTAGGGAGCCGCGCAGCTGGAACTGTTAAATCAGCATAAAATGGAGCACACAAAAACCAAATAAAATATTAAAAAGCTAGAACAAAGCAGCAGCAGTGTTTATGGTGAAAGCTGCAGCAAGCACATCCAGCTCTGCTTTCCACCCCAAAGGATGCTCTGCTCTTGCACCTTCTTTTTTTTCTTAGCTGAGCTCACCAGTCTGTGATGGGGGAGAAGGAATTTTGCTTTGAAAGCTGTGGAGATATCAGTGCAAGAGGGTGTTTTGTTTATTTTTATTTATTTTATAAAAAATAAATAAAACATTGTGCTGCTGAAAAAACCCTTAAGCTTAAATGTAAGAGGAGGCAAGAGGGAGATATTTATCAGTGAGGAATCCCTGAGGAAACTGGTGGGTGAGCAGTTGTGGGGTAGGTTCACAACCAAACCGTGTCTTTGATGTCTTTTAGAGTAATTCCACATTTCGCGTGTCTCCCCGTGGCCTGTGATAGGGATGATTTATTTTATTTAGTCTGCTGTAAAATTAAAACATTCTCTGATAAAGTAGATGCTGATTTATAGACGGAGCAGATGGCCCCTCTCCTTTCACGTACATCCTGAGAACTGGGCTTTCCTCAAGAATGGGGAGGATTTTCTATCAACTTTATCCCCTTAACACATGAACTTGAAAATTCCCCACTTGACTCTTGGGCTGGTTTTTTTGGTTTTTTTTGGGGAGGGGTGGGTTTTGGCGTGTGGGGTTTTTTTTTTGTTTTTAAGGCCATTTCATACAAGAGTAACTTGACGAATACCCAGTTTTTAAGTGTTAAACGTTGTGGCTGCTCTCCAGGCTGCAAGTGCCTTCTCTTCTCCTGGCTGCTCTCCAGAAATGTATTTTAAGGCCAGACTGCTCTGCTCTGCCTGTGGCTGGAGAATGCCATGGGGGGGTTTGGTGGTGCTGCTGCTTGTTTGGGGTGGGAGGGCGATGCCATGGATTTTTTGATGCCATGGATTTTTTGATGCCATGGATTTCCTGCACGGGCTGCCAGGGAAGCAGAACCCATTGCTGGGGGAGGAGGAGGAGGACGAGGAGAGGAGGAGGAGGAGGAGGAGGAGGAGGAGGAGGAGGAGGAGGGGATCCTGCATCTGCTGCCATCAGTCTGCGAGGAACAGAGGGCTAGCAGACAAAGCACAATTTCTTTCCTCATTTAAAAGCCCATCCTGCGCTTTTCCTCCTTATTTCCCACACCTGGTGAGAGCACAAAGGCACAGTTCTGGGTTTTTTTTTTTTTTGGGGGGGGGTTTTAGGGTGGTTTTGGAAGCGTCGCTTCTGCAGGGTTAAGATGGGCGTTGTGAACTTCTCCAATGGCTCTGTGAGCAGCCTGGGAGGAGCTGGTTCCTCTGGAATTGTGTCCTGGCTTTTCTGCAGGAATTCTGAGCGAGCTTCCAGGAGCTGATGCTAGCAGGGCAGCGTTTGCCGGGTGCACTGAAGAGAGGGTGTTCAGTTTATTTCGTTGTTTGTTTCCCAATCCCGCCCTTTCCCACGGATGCGAAATGTGATGTGAAACAAGCACATTGTAAATACGGAGCTTTAAAAATGACGAGGAAACAGAATTGTGATTTCCTTGCTGTTTACAAACTGGGGGAATGGGAATAACTCGGTGGAACGTGTGTCTGGCAGGGAACTACGGCTCCCAGCAGCTCCTCTCTCCTGGACTGTTCCTTTGCGCGTGTTTCTTAGGAATTAACGTGTCGCTTTTCATCCCCAAAAATAAAATAAAATAAAATTAAATTTAAAAAAAAAAGCCACCAGGCAAATAAAACAGACTTGGAGCCATCCAGATCACAGGAGCAAATGCGAAGGTCAGCCCTGGGCTGGCTGTGGCTCCTTTTGTTGAGGAGCCCACATTAGCATGGAGCAAAGGGCTGGCTGTGCACGGGGATGGAAATGAGCAGGGCTTGGCAGCCCCTGGGTTCCTGGTGGGGAAATGCAGCTGCTCCTTAGGAGCAATGCCTTTTGAAGTGACCCTGAGAGGCAAATGGCAGCGCCTGCCCCGGCAGCCGGGAGCTTTTCCTGCAATGGAGAAAAAGAGATCAAAATCAAGCATAAAATTCAGATTAAAACAAGTGTGTGGCTTTAAACCACTGCGTCGATGTTAAGGCAGATAATCCCTCTCCACAGAGTCAGGGATGCAGATTCCAGACCTGCCCAGGAGAAATGGCACACACAGGATGGAGTCAGCATCCCTGGAAGTGCCCAGAAAACACGGGACCGTGGCACGTGAGCACAGGGTTTGGTGCTGAACACGGTGCTGGTGCAGGGTTGACAATGACACTTGAAGATCTTAAAGGTCTTCTCCAACCTTTAACCATTCTGTGGTTCCACAAAAAGCAATTTCAGGAGGAATTCATTCATGGGAAGGGTGAAACGTGGGCAGGGGCTGCCCTGGGAGGTTTGGATTCCCCATCCCTGAGGTGTCCAAGGGGTTTCTGGACAAGGTTGGGTTCCCACAGCTTGGAGAGCTTTTCCAGCCTTGGTGGCTCTGTGATTCCATGGAAAACCTCCTGCCACAACACGTTGGGCTGTCCAGGGGAGGTGCTGACATATTTTAAAACACCCAAAGCCACCTGAAAACTTCCTCAGAGCATTTTTTTGGACCTTGTTAGAGATTTGGCTTCTGAGGTTGCTTCTGACCCAAGAATTTGTGGTGCTTCAGCTAAATTCTGACTTGGACAAATGTGGGACATCAGCAGCCTCAGTCCTGAGAGCTCCAGATCTCCAGGCAGCTGCCGGAAAAGCTGATTTTTGGGGAACAGCACACAATGGGAGGTTTATCCTGCAAAGCAAGTGCAAATTGCTTTAAGATTCCTCTGAAGAAGCAGCAGCAGCAGCTGTGGGGTAGAGTCACACAGAGCTGTGCTTAAGAGGGGGGGGAAGTTATCTGAATTCTTAAACGTGAATAATAATTAGGATGGAGATCTGGTGTTTGCAGCAGAAATCACAGAGCCGTGTGGGGCTCGAAGAAGAAAAAAAATAAGGATGCTTGTGCCTGAAGATGAATGTGTCAGCTTGCCTCTGCAGAATCAGAGCTGGGGCTGGGAAATGGGGGAGATTTTCAGGAATCTGTCAGTGCCCAGGAATGGAGACACCAAAGGTGTGTCAGAGGCTGGGTTGGTGAATTCCCCAGGTCAGTTCAGGCTGGGGAGCAGCTCCGAGAGGGGACAAAGCCCCAGGAGGGGCAGGCCCTGACCCCACATCCTGCATCCCATGCAGGGGTGCAGCCCCACATCCTGCATCCCATGCAGGGGTGCAGCCCCACATCCTGCATCCCATGCAGGGGAATTCCCTGGAGGCTGCAGGCAGCAGTGGGATCCCTGCTGAGGCTGATCCATCCTCAGTTTTCATCCCAAATCCTGTGACAGGACAGATGCAGGGGGTGTTGGGAAAATGGGAGCTGGCTGGTCCAGTACAACCTGGGTGGAATAATGTGGAAAAGCATTCGGAAATCCATTGAAATGGTTGATTTCTTAAAATGGGGAGCAGATTTGATTTATTTTGAGTTAAAACACACGTCCCTCACTTCACCAGGGCATCGTTGGCCAAGACAAAATCCATTCAAAGGAACTCTTGAGTGCTTGAGTTGTTCCAGAATTGTCAATCTCATCGTGTCTTCAACAAAAACATTTATGTTTTCTTTCTAGCTGAGTTTTTAAGATTGTTACAGCACTTGGATAAATTGGGGTAGGTACTTTCCACAGTTTGTTGTGAAAATCGGGCAGGTGAGGTTAATTCTCTGAAAATGCACCCGCTCCTCAGTGCTGAGGCCACTTTTGGAGTGCAGGGTCCAGCTCCGGGCTCCCAGTGCCAGAACAATCCGTGGATTTACTGCAGAGGGACTGGAGGAGCAGCTTGGTGTCAGCAGAAGCTGAGACTGGAAAGAAAAGCCTCCAGGGGATGTGGATGTGGATCAGTTCCTGCTGGGAAGGACTGAAGACAGCCAGGATCTCCCCAGTGCTGCCCAACAAACTGGAATACAGCAAAACCACAGAAAATCCTCTCTGCACCTATAAAAACACACCAAAATCCCTATTTTTCTTTTTTTCTTTTTGTTTTTGGCTGAATCCTGGAACAGGTTGAGGGGAGAGATTGTGGGTTCTCCATCCGTGGACCTTCAGAACACGCCTGGCCAGACCCCTGGTGGCCTCCTGGACTGGATAATCTCAAGATGTCCCTTCCAACCCCAATGATTCTGTGACTTTCCTACCTCTACTCTTACAAAAATCATCATAATAGAAGCTTATTTGAATATTTAATTTACTTTCCCTTCTTTGTTTATATTTGTGGCATTTATCACCCTTGAATCTTTAGGATAAACAAGAATGTTAATTGTTTGTTGCTGGTTTATGGTTAATTATAATTTACCACATTGATTAACTCGAAATGTGGCTGCGAAGACATGAATGGGAGTGTGTAAATCCGCATCCGAAAATGGGGAATTGTGTGAAACAAAGGCTTGGAGGAAGAAATGAGCCAGGTAACATATCCAGGCCACGTTCTGGGCAGAGTTTGGTCAAAATCCATGCTTGAAATTCAAGGTTCTTTCCTGAGGAGAGCCCTGGCTGAGCTGTGGAATGATGAATGATGAAATAAAGTGATGAAGATTTTAGACAATGGAGATAGAAAATTGTTGCCTCCAAATCTGAATGGGCTTTTCCAGATGTTTAATATCTCTTGTCCCAAAAGCAACTGTATAAAAAATACTTTACATGTTACAGCAACTGCGATATATTCCTGCAGAATTTAGTTAATTGTCCCTGAAATCAAACTGCAGGATTGTAAATGTCTTTGTTTTATGGGAAAAAAAAAACCCTAAAAATTTATTTATAAAGCACAGCTTTTTGCAGCGAGTTCTTTTTACAGGGAAGATTGATGTGCATTAAGCATTCTGAAATTTAAATCCCATTTTTTTCCCCAGCATATTCAAAGCTGGGTTTCACCTTGCCACCAAGGAGAAGCAGCCAGTTTGGTGGTATTTGCAGCATATTGGCAAATTTGGCTCGTAATAGGTGGAATTATTGCACAAGTTGATAAATCAATCGATAAATAAACGGGGCAGGGACTGAGGGCTGGGGGATGCTCGCTGCTCCTGTCCTTGCATGTTAATCAGCCTCTCAAAGGAGCTGGGATTTGCATTGTGCAGCTCCGGGATTGTTGTGCTCAAAAGGGTTTTTATTCCATTCAAGTGGCGGGGCTGGGAGCAGCAGAATCCGGGCAGTGTTTGGGGAAGGACAAATCTGCCCAAAATATTCAAATATTCACCCTCGCCCCGGGCGTCAAATAAAATATCGGCCACTTCTTCCCTGGGTTTTGCCTTTCGGGGTCTCAGCAGGCCAGGATTGAGGGTTTGGTGCCTTTGGGAGACTTGGAAGGGATAAAAGTTAGGGAAGTGGTCGATTTGGGGGTTTGGGAATAACAGGATTTCTGCCAGGTAAAGGGTGGGGAAATTCAGTTTGTGTGAATTAGGGAATAACAGGATTTCCCAGATATGGGGTGGGGAAATGTCAGATTTGGGAGTTTGGGAATAACAGGATTTCTGTCAGGTAAAGGGTGGGGAAATGTCAGATTTGTGGGTTTGGGAATAGCAGGAATTCTCCCAGGTAAAGGTTATGGAAACCTCAGATTTGGGAGTTTGGGAATAATGGGATTTCTCCCAGGTAAAGGTTATGGAAATCTCAGATTTTGTAGGTTTGAGAATAACAGAATTTCTCCCAAGTAAAGGTGGGGAAATTCAGATCATGTGTGAAGTAGGGAATAACAGGATTTCCCAGATATGGGGAGGGAAATGACAGATTTGGGAGTTCGGGAATAACAGGAATTCTCCCAGGTAAAGGGTGGGGAAATTCAGATTGTGTGTGAGTTTGGGAATAACAGGATCTCCCAGATACAGGGTGGGGATATGTCAGATTTGGGAGTTTGGGAATAACAGGATTTCTGCCAGGTAAAGGTTATGGAAATCTCAGGGCTTGTGCATTTGGGAATAATGGGATTTCTCCCAGGTAAGGCTGGGGAAATCCAGATCGTGTGAGTTTGGGAATAACAGGGAATAAGCCAGCATTTTCCTCTGGTGACGTGGTTTTATGCACCTCCAGCTGCTGCTCGGGGCAGTGTGAGGTGAGGTGTTCATGAGCTGTGTCTGTGGGAAAAATCCAGAAAAGGGGAGATTTTGGATCCTTTCCTTTGTACAAATCTCAACAACCCTGTAGCTACTGATCCATGGACTTCAGTAGAGATGTTTCAATGGTGATGGTATTCTGAAGCAGAAAATGGGCAGATAAAAATAGATATCTGTATCTAGATGGGTCCAGATTTACATAGTACAGGAATTTTGCTGCAATGAGTAGAGAATTGGGCTGCAGGCTGGGGTTGTGAGTTCCCACCAGCTCATGTTGTGAGGACAGGTGAAAACTAATCCTGGGTGTGCTGAAAAATCCTTTTGTTGGAAGGAGAAAAATCTGCATTTCAAACAACCAGCGAACATATCAGTGTGCTCCCCGAATGCAAAGCTGTTATCTGGGTTTGTGTTTAATCAATATTATTGAGTTGTTTGCTGAGTCTTTGGTGTCTCTTTGCTTTTTCTCGTTTCATTAACTCTTGGGCACGTTTCCTTACACGTGATTATTCTGTTCTGTGAGAAAACTGGCAGAGAGTTCCCTCCTGGTGTGGATTTCAGGAGTGAAGTTGTGCAAAGCAGCAATTTCCAAACAGGTACCCAAGAGCTGAAAAAGCCTGGAGGGAGATTGTGGGAACTCCAAATGTCCCTCAGACATTTTTGGATGTTCCAGGCCCTGGTCAGAAGCATTTGAGACCCTGGCACAGCTGGAAACAGCTGGGATTTTGGGTTTGAAACATGGAATGTGTTACCAACCTTGCAGGAAGAACAAGAAGTCACAAAAGTTTAGATATTATAGTAGAAGTAGTCACAAAGTAGAGGGAAGAATTTTTAAGTCCAGTACAGGGGGGTTTTGGTTTTGTACATGGGGGTCAGAGGGTTTAAGATGGATTTGGGATTTGGGCCTGCCCTGTCCTCCCTCTTTCTCCTTCCTCACCTCCATGTTCTTGGTGATGTTGGCACTCACAGATTGGTTTAGAGTAGAAAATCACCATTTAATATAGGTGATAGGCATTGGGGAAAAAGTGTAACCATGTAACACGTAATGTACCATATAAAAGATAGAAAATCACCATTTAATATAGGTAATAGGCATTGGGGAAAAACTGTACGCATGTAACACGTAATGTACCATATAAAAGATAGAAAATCCCCATTTAATATAGGTAATAGGCATTGGGGAAAAACTGTACCCATGTCACACGTAATGTCCCATATAAAAGACAGCAGCAGTCCTGGTGGGGAGAGAAGAAGCAGTCGGGGTCAGAGAGGATGTCAGGGTGTGTGTGTGCCTCTGCCTGAGCTGTGAGCAAACCACAGCAGCAGAGAAGAAAATCTTTTAGATAACTTGCAATAAACTGCCTTGAGACCCAACAACAGAGACTGCTGAGTTTTCTTTGGAAGCTCGGGCTGGAGGAGAGACTTTTCCACCACACAAAACCACCCCTGACCCGGGGTGGCTTCACCAGGGGATGTTCAGGCTGGGCTGAGCTTGGTGTGAACCTGGAAAGGTCCTTGTGGAAATCAGTCCCTGGAGTGGAGCTCTTGGTGTGTTTGTTGTTGTTCTCTGTGTATAAAATGGTATTTTCTGGGTATTTTTGTAGGGAACATGAGGATTTTTTATGTATTTGGAAATGTGCAGCAAGACGGGGAGAGCATTTTTCTGCTCAATGTTCATTTTGACGTATTTGAGAGAGAATTGTTGGGTTTATTTGTGGATGTTTTGAGGTGGGAATGGCTGGATTTTCATGGTGTAGCACAGCCTTGCCTGTGTCACTGCAGTCAGAAGGAAGCCACCAAACCATCCAGGCCTGCCAATTCCCATTTATTTCCCTCATAATTCCATATAAAACCCATTGCACTTGCACTAGAGGTGAAGTGTAGCAGGAAATACAAAATACAGCCAGTGCTGGTATTTCCCTTTGGTGAGAGCCGCCTTCATATTGTTTTTATATCATTTTTATTATCATTTTTTTATGTCATTCCTATTAATTGTGTGCAAGCTGTGGCACTGCTCAGCTGAAGCACTTAGAGCCCACCTGGGTGTGCTTTGAAATCCTCAAATTGACCATTTGAAAACTTCTTTTAAATGGCTTAACGTGCATCACCATCCCACGCAGCCCAGGATCTAGTGAGCAAAATGCCCGCTCATTATTGGCTAATTACAATTATATTGGAGGACTTAATTTTGCACTTTGCACTCTGTTGATAAAAGAAGACATTTGTGCATGGCATTTTAGCAAAATACCATCAACAGCTGCTTGGCCAAGGAACTTTTTCAGTTCTTGTGAGGCTGCAGAATTAAAGGAGCAGAGCTGGCGTGTGCTGCAGTTGTGTTTGCAGCAGATAATCCCAAATGCAGCGTGCTGCAGGGCTGGAGCAGACACGGAATTACTGCACACTCCCTAAATCCTCCTGCACTTTAATCTCCCCATCTTCTCTGGGCAGGCTCGCAGCATTTATTCCCTTTACTCCATTTATTCCCTGCTCCCCCCTGGCTGGGGTTCGTTGGGAATGAAGGAATAACATTGAAATTGAAATTGAAAGGGAATAAAATTTAAATTTATTTATTGTGGACAGTCTGGAACTACTCTTTTTTTTCTGTAAGAGCTGCAGCATCAGAGATTTAATTTCATATTGATTCACTTCTGGCTTTTCCATTGTGTTTTATTTGGGGATGGGCTTTGGCCATTTCACTCGCTGATTTTTCTCCATTTCTCTGATAAATGAATAGTTCATGAAATACAAGCAAACTTGGAGTAGTTTGTGCTTCATGCACAAAAATAACGTGGTGCTGCAGTGATTGTTTGTAATTTTAATCTCCCACTCCAGCCTAGCATGACTGTTAGCTCCAGAGGGAGAAATACTGTGAAATATTTCTGTTTAGAGTAAAAGTTATATAGTGTAAATACTAATAAATAAAAAGTTATTTAGTTATATACACCCTGACAAGTTATTTTTGGTTAGAAATGGGTGTTTCTGTTGGTAGGATGCTTTTATTCCTGGCATAAAAGATGTGTTTTTTGTGGTGTGCAGTTTGGTTTTGCACACTGTCAGGCACGAGGAGGTAAATCCTGCTTTTACCCAGTCCCAGGGAATATCCAGGGAGGAATTTTTCTCACCTGCTCACAGCTACTGAGGGACCCCTAGAAAAATTCCAAGTGCCTGCTTGAGTAAAAATCAAAGTAAATCTCCTCAACAACCATTTATTCTTAAATAAATGACTTGTGCTGATCTTTGCTACACCTGGTGAAAAAACAGGGTTTTAATGAAAGAAAAGATTTTTTTTTTTTTTTTAATCACCCAGGCCCTGCCTTGCTGCTCACACTGCAATTAATGTGACCTGCTGCTCATTAATGGGTGGGGAGGGAGAAGCACAGAAATTCCAGCTGTGGGAGGGTTTCAATCCATCTGTCAGCAGTTTCTGCTGTTCCACACTTTGGTTCTGGTGGAAGAACAAAAATCTCCACAATGAGCAAACCCAGTCCTCAGGTATTTTTTTCCCTCTTTCTCTCATCCAGGAGAAAAGTGCACTCCAGACCCTTTCATTGTGGTTTTTTTTTTTTTAAAGCACACAATTTCTGCAGCAGCTTTTTGCCATTATTTCACTAAGGAGTCATTGAATATTCAAGGGGAGAAGGTGCCCTTGGAGCAGTCCCTGAAGTGTCTTTGCCTGGGTTTTTTGGGGTTTTTTTGGGGTTTTTGTTGTTTTTTTTTTTTTTTT